TATATATATATATATATATATATATACGTAAATTAAAACGTCCTTCCGAAGCGGGCGATGGGATTTCGATTCCGGCTGCCGACAGCTTCTTACGGGCGACCCCCAAACAATCTCTTCCTTTCTCCTTTTTTGTACCGACATAGGAACAGGAGTTATATAGATATTGATAAATCATAGAATTTGATGTCCAAATTTAAGAAAAACAAGAGGCCAGGATGAAAGTAAAACGCGATGAAGGCCTCTAAGCGATACATAAAAAAAACATACAAAGTTGATCTCTAACATGTTGGCAATCAATTCGTGCTCAAAATCCCGATCATTGAAGAACTAAAGCTAGCTTGATTCCATGATTTTTTCACAACTATAGTTGCTATGTTAGTAAACATATCACATTCAAAATAAAAAATTCACTATTGCAATAAATTTAATAAGATGAAAGACTCAAATACTCAGTAAAAGGGTTCTAGTGGTAAAACCATAATTGATCACAGCACTGCATGAAATTGACAGAAAGACCATCTACATACATAGCACGCAATTCTTATGTATTTACATATATCACACATAAACTTTCATATTTACACACATCGCACTCAAATCTTTAAGATCGCATAAAAAATAGCACTACTGCCACTATATAAAGCGCCAAAATTCTATGAATGTAAATATGAGAGTTTAGGTGCGAGATATGTAAATACAGAATATGTAAATTTCCATTGATAAAAACGCCAACTTTTAGATGGTAGAGAAAGATATCCATTGCAATATTAACTTTAAATCGCAAATCCTTCTATGAGTTATCTTACAGTATAATAACATTGCCCGTCCAACTATTTCATTCATGGGCAAAGAAATTACTCAAGAAAAGAAACTGTTAGATTGAATAAGCTTTTTCTTGAGAAACAAGACTAACAGGTCAAAAAAATTCTACAGAAAATTGAGCCAATCAACCTTCATAACATTTACAAATGAGCTGCAGCAGGTGATAATAAACTAATTCTGTCCATTACCAAGCACAAAATAAACAACGTCATCTAGATAGCCAAAAGCAAATTTCAACAAAATGACAGCCATCAGGAAACCTAGCTGCAATTACAAAAATAAACATATTGATAAGGTCAATCAAACTTCCAGGCTTAAAAAACCTGTACATACGTTAAAATAAACGCGAAGGAACAACCAATCGATGACAATACTATAAATTAAAGAGGTTACAGCTACCAATTCAACGGCTCAATTATCAAAGGGGAAACTAAGGCATGCCTTGGTGGTTTAGAAATCCCAATGTCAAACAATGGAATTAAACCAATCTTAACTAGTAACAAAATCACAGAACTAGTAACAAATTCGAAAAGAAGCATGAGACAAGATCATATCGGCAGACCTGACTGGCGGCGATCCTCAAAAGTCCCCGCCGGATCCGTGAATCCGCCTGCTCCGACGCTCCCATCTGCACCCTAATCAACTCTCCCACTGTCGCCGGCCTCTTCACCGCCCTAGAGGGGCTGCTATCCCTCCCCGGGCTTTTCTTCGATGGCTTCAGTCCCAGCGCTTTCTTCATCTTGCTAGCAGCCGTCGACGTCAGCGATCTCTGCATCGACGGTGACGGTGACGGCGACCGTTCAGCTGACGGCGGCGTCGCCGTCTTCTCCGCTTGAGGAATGAAAGTGAGCGGCTTCCCGCTGGTGGTTCGGCAAGCGGCGACGAAAATCTCGTATGCCGTCTCCCGGCGCTCCGCATCTGACAAGTTGCAGCCCAATACGCCAAACGGCGAAGGAAGGTACTCCGTCGAACTAGAGCTCATCTGCGACACAGATAAACGCAGGGGGTTGCTGGAAGAAATCCTCCTGGAGTGGCCAGGGCTTCCTCTCTCTCTCAGAAGCCGAGCCATTTTCGAGATTTATCGTCTCCTTGGTTCTCCCCTCGGAGGAGACGGGAAGGGAGTGAGAGAGGAGTAGAAACACAGCAAAGAGAAAGGGGGGAAGAACTAGAAACGGAAATGGGTAGGTGTGTAAGAAGTTTGGGGTGCTTAATGTAAATACTTAAAAGTTATGTGCTTGGTATGTAAATTTACCTTAAAAAGCAAAAGGAAACACCGGTGGCATTTTAATAGGCAATGTTTTCAGTGTATTATATTATTTAAATACATATTTAATCCTTTTTTTTTATTTAAAATGTATAAATATCCATAGAATACAATTTGTATCATCCCATGCTTTATTGTTATAATTTAATACTAAATATTAATTAAATCCTCATTAATTGTGAATTAGTTTGATATTAAATTACTATTAAAATAAAAACAAATTAAACAACTAAATCATGCACTTAACCAAAGCAATTCATTTCTAACTACATACTTAATTATTATAATTTAATACTAATAAACATTCTTAATTACATATCATTCCTACTACTAGAAAAATAAAAAATAGGAGGAGGCATTTTATATATCGCTTTATATTTTTCCCC